TTCATCCGAACGCGAAATGAGCGCAGAATTAGAACACAGAATATCGGGTTTTATTGCAGTTTATTCGTGGCGTCGGTGTGAAGGCTCGTGATGTAGTGATGTGGAGGTGGAAGTGATATTTTGGCCGATTTTCTCCTGAATTAACGTTGATTAACGTTGAGTTGACCTGAACCTCAATTCAGACAAAGAGTGCAGTTTCCCAGCAGTCGAGGAGAAATGCAAACTTTGAAAGTTGTGAAGCTTTCAAGTATTGAAGCAATTGTTGTGAAAGAAACTTAATCTCAGCTTAAAGTGCGAAAGTTGAGTAACTTTGAAGTGTTGCGTAATTGCGGACGTAATTGACGCGCGAGTGTGACGTCACGGCGTCATAACAGTCGCGATAAAAACAATTTTATCTTTGATCGCACTTTTGATGGCATTTAACAACAATCCAACTCTTCGCTCGTGAAAATGTCGCAACCAGTGACTGACTCGCTGTCGCGCGACGAAGCGCTCTTCCACTTCGCCAACAAATGCCAACAAAAGCTCTTCATTTGGCGCCAATTCGAGGACTGTTTCAAAGTGAGATCCGAAGTTGCGGTCAATTCGTGTAGTAATTCCTCCCCCTTTAGTGTCCGCTCGTGTTCTGGACGGCGATCGACGCCCAGAGCGAAGTCGTGGTGAAGAACTCGACGAACGACGCCCTCTGGTGGGCGATCACCGAAACCAAGAATTCTTCCGATTATTTGCTTTCGAAAGAAGAGAAGATTTTCTGCAAAAACCAAATCTCGCCGAAAGACCAGTCGATCCACAAGATCTCGTAATCACGTGATCCTTGCTCTCCCCCTCCTAACGCCTTCCTCTTTTTTAGTATTAAACGAGTGTTTCATTTCAGCATTTCCGGCGCAAACCACAACTTCTCGTGCGAAACACAGACCCTCGACGACGGCCGCAACAACGCCTGGCCGCTGGTCGTGGCGGCCGCGGTCTACGTCCTGCTGGCCGTCCTCTTCTACGGCGGACGACGTCTGTATTGGCGCTACAGAGCGCGTCACGTGACACAGATCGCGAGCGAAGAGCCGGACGACAAGAATGAGGACAAACGGCGGAAGCGCTTGAAGTCGTTGGACTGCTTTCGAGGGTTCGTTCTTTCCGCTCCCAATTCGCGTTCTCATTCTCATTGTGCGCAGAATCACCATTTTGATGATGATCTTCGTCAATGTGGGCGCCGGCGGCTACGAGTTCCTCGACCACGCCCCCTGGGACGGCTTCCACTTCGCCGACATCATCTTCCCGTGGTTCATCTTCATCATGGGCACCACCATGGCCATCTCGCTCAAGAGCCAAG